CCTATTCCCAGGATATTTTTTCATTCATTCATTCATTCATTCATTTTTATAAAGCAGGATTTAATGAGAGAACAGAAAAGCTCCTAGAGTGGGAGGGAACCCAAGGGAGCTACCTGAATACTTTTATTTTTAAAAGTCAAGAATATGGCCAGTCTCCGTGACTCAAGCCTGTATCCCAGCACTTTGGCAGGCCAAGGTGAGAGGATTGCCTGAGTACAGAGGTTCGAGACCAGCCTGGGCAACTTGGTGAGATCTCATCTCTACAATAAATAAAAAAATTAGTTGCATGCGCCTGTAGTTCCAGCTACTTGGAAGGCTGAGGTGGAAGGATAGCCTGAGCCCAGTGGGTTGAGGCTGCAGTGGCCCTGAGCATGCCACTGCAGTCCAGCCTGGACGACAATGAGACTCTGACTCAAAAAGAGTCAAGAATAAAACATTGACATGTCCTTCCAGTATGACAATAAAAATCTTCATTTTATCTTTCTCATGATATTATCTTCTTTAATCTGTAGGACTTTGTCATAAAATGTTAACTCATCAGGTATGGGTTTCCTTTACATTGCAAAGAAATGTCTGGCCCTTGACTGACTTCTGGAATATAACCTTTAAGTCCTTTGAATTACTTGCCTATTAAGAATTTTTTTTATATATGTGGAGGATCAAGCCATGCCAGACAGTTTATGGAGAAAATGTGATTTATAATGCAGGTCTTTGGATACACCATAAGAGTTTGACCTCTGAAGGGGCTGGAGTCAGAGTAAATAAGATCAGCCATGTGAGTACTCCATTCCTAGATGACTGCACTGAACTAAAAACACTGAGCATGAAGGTTTGTATGACCATCTCTGGTTGGCCATATTTCATGCATGTGTCACACACTGTTTGTAAGAGAATTAGATGCTGTCTATGCAACTTCCCCCTCACCGCCCCTGGAAAAGACCATTGCAAGACCATGCCTAATATGCCTTGGATCTGATCCATGTACCTTTTGCTGGTAATTGTAGCTGTTCACTATAATAAACTGTAACTAAAGCATGAAACCTTTTTTGATTTCTGTGTCTTTAAGTGAATCATTTAACTTGAAGGTGGTCTTGAGGACTCTTGATCCCAGTGATACCTCAAAATGGGATTGACTAGAATGACTCTGACTCATGGACACATGGCAAAAGCATGGTTCAGGATAGAAAGGATGAGAAATGATTATGAGATAGTCTCATTGTGCCACAAATGGATGGGGTCTTAGTCTCTTGATGGATACCCCTAAGATAACAGCAAACAGGATTTTTATTTCAACCATCAAAGAGAGTTGAAGTAAATCTTGCCAGTTTTCGAAGCATTTGATATGACTTGACATAAAATACAGGTTGCTGAAAGCTCTAAAATTTGTTGTGTTTCTTTATAAATCTGTGTGAGTCACTCTAAAAAGCACAGAGAAAAATTCTTTCTCTGGTACAGTTTTACAGAAACCATGATACACGAGGTCACAAATCTGCATGAGGTCACAGATTTGCATGAATTACCTGATGAAATACAGAAAAAAAATTCAGTATTTGGCTCACTTTCACAGAGACTGAGGTTTGAGGTCTCAGAGAAGGATACTGCACTGGGAATGTTCTTTTTCTTCTGCTAGCCTTTAAACCTCCTTACAGACCTTATCCAGATGCCTAAAATCAAACTACCTATATCCATTGATCTTTGGAGAGTTCCTGGAATTGTAGCAATTGAAAACAATCGTATATGCATCGTTCTATTGTTGTTATAACAGATGCTTATCTAGCATATTCTATATCTGAACATGCTCTGAGGGGATGCACAGAAAAATAAGTAAAAGCATCGGTCCTCAAACTTTGCCCTTCTATTCAGAGCAAATACTATACTCCAATAAGTTGCACCAGGGACAAGATTCTATTTATTGCCTGGATGCCCTATCTCCTTGAGTACCACTGGCAACTTAGATCCTGATTCAAGAGTCCATGAAATGTTTGGGCGTTTTTACTTCCCCAGTACACAGGTACCCAATAAATGGCCAGAGTTTCCTTTGAAAAAGAACTAGAGGAATCATTATTATTTATTCTTTTCCTAAAGTTACAATGACCTTTTTCTATGGTCCTGGGTTTCCTACCAGCTGATAAGTGCAGGATCTAAAATTAGCTCAGATCAAGGCTCTTGGTATAGCATTTTACTGGAGCTACTTGGCAGTCTCGGTAAACACCTTTGATTTAATTTTGTTGTTCTCTCCCCATCCCATTTGACCATATGAATGGCACAATTAATTGACATCTTCAGAATTCTCTCTGGTCAGGCCTAGCTTCTGACACTCTTACTATAACTAAAACTACTGAAAGTCTAATGATTAAAGTCCAACACCAGGCTTCCATATGTCAGTCTGTCATCCTCTATGAGGAATTTAGTTCTGGAAAAGCACATTGTCTTTTCTATCCAGGTCTACCTCAGAAAGATCACCACTGAATTTACAAGGATGGCAGCATCCCTCTCACAAGAGCTCCATCTTAATGTTTGGTAATTTGTGCTTCTAACACCTTAAAACTGTAATTCAGAGATAGGAAATAGAGGCTACTCTAGCTGAAATCTGAAAGGTCACAGAAAAGTTCATATCTTTATTGTGAGACAAATATAACAGTTTAAAAAATAAGGCTAAATCAGAGCAGGAATAAGACGCAAATTTTATACATTCTAATCACCAGATTTTAGTCTTAGATCTTTCACTGAGCTGATGTCATTCCTAAAAGCAATAAGCAATTTCATCATCTAAAGCTATTTTACATTCTATTTATTGCTATCATTATTAGTACTATAATTTACAATTTTTATATATTTCTGAATAGAAAAAAAGCAAAATGAACTTTTTAAAAACAACATTCAAAAGAAAGAGTATATAATGAAAAGTATGTCCTTTTGATACCTGATTCTATCTGGTTATTCCCAAAAGAGCCATAAATAGTAGGTTTTTGTTAACATTTGCAGAAATTTTTTTTTTAGGTTGGTATTATAACATTTATTAAAATAATGCTATGGGTTAATAGAAACAGCAAAGAACCAAAGAATTAAAATGCAAGCTATGTAAAATCCCAACTAAAACCCAAAAGTGTCTAATGTATTCATTCATTAGCTAACTAAAAGCCCAAAAAAGACAAGACACCCAATATAATAAAGTACTGCAAAACAATTGGCAATTCTCAGTATCAAAATTGTGGATTTTGCATTTTGTATCCTTTTCTCAATCAAGAAAAAAATTCTTTTTGAATGTTATATAACATACATATAAAAAAAGATAGAAAAATACATTATAAACTTGTAACAATGACTACAAATACATGATCTTACATGTTTCTCATAGGCAATAGGTTGGTTATGGTACATACATAGCATGAAACTACTAAGCAATAAAGAATAAACAAAAATACATGTCGCTGTATGGTAACATACAAGCGACACTCCCATCTACCCACGCTAAAAAATTACTTACTACTGTCAGAAAAAATGTCTCAAAAACTACATATTTTATAAGAAATAAATTCAATAAAGAATGATAATACTGAGAACCAAGGCATCCAGAGGTTTCAAAAGTCATTCTTTTTTCAATTGATCCAAAAATTTATCAACTTTAAGTTTTTCAAAAGTTTGTTCAGAGCCAACATTACTCATCAATGCCACACATTTATTATTTCATACATTTATCTTCTAGCCCATAAAAGACCTTTGATACATATCTAAAATGTCCAGGTATAATATAGTTGAGATGAAACTGGATCAAATACTGGTATTGCTTTTAACAACTATCACCTCAAGTGTTTGAGTGTCGTAAATTTATTCAACCAACCAAACAATATAAAAATCAAAACGGCATAGCATATATTGTAAATAAATCAAAACAACTGTAGGTGTAACAGAAAGACAAAGCAGTGGTACATTAAACCAAAGCTAGCTGGATACAAAACAATAAATGTCTATTGCATAGTAAATAAATTTAAAACATTTCCAAGTGAGACATGATAGGGGAGGTCACCGAGAAGGTGCTGACTGAGCTTCCTGCTGACCTCTGACTGGGACGCTGGAAGGTGTGGAAGAGGGGATGAGTTGACAGGCTGGGGGAAATCTACTGTCACTTGAGATTTGCCACGTCTGGTACTGAGCAGTTAATGATTATTCACTCAAGTGTTTAGATGTAGGCTTTGTACAAACATGGCTTTAACCACAAACCTGTTTAAACTTCATGACAAATTAGAAGCTTAAACTGAAATGCAGCTGAGTATTTATATGCACAATGAATATTGCAGAAATATTTTATGTCTATATTTGCATGCTTGCAAATAATAATTGCAGTTTTTGTGTGAGATTAGACAATTAGCTTTGTCTTCTTTTTTACTTTATATAATATATATTTAAAGTCATTCTGCACTAGTAGAACCCCCTGTCAACTTTTCTACTGGCTACCTAATATTCCAGTACACATACATATTAAAATGTATGTTATGAATATTATATAGTGGCCAATCTAGTACTTTCCAAAATTTTGCCATTAAAAGAAATGCCTAATTTCACCTCTTATATATAAAGGATTTTGCAACTTATATTTCCTAAAAGTGCTTATGATGTTTCAAAGTGTGTACACTATTGTTCCATTGTGGGTAAAATACATGAACAGGCACTTCTCAAAGAAAGACATGAAAAAATGCTCAGCTTCACTGATCAACAGAGAAAAGCAAATCAAAACTACAATGAGATACCACCTCGCACCAGTCAAAAACAAAAAAAGTCATGAAAACAGCAAGTGTTGGCATAGAAAAGGGAATGATTCTAGAAGCCCAAACCCTACCTGCATGCAACTTATATATGTAGTAAACTCCTCACTTGTACTCCATAATCCTCAAATAAAGCAAACTTTGGTACATTAAAAAAAAACACTAAAAGCAGATAAATGCATATATTCACATTCTATAATTTCCTTAAAAGAAAAAAGCTAAAGCTTTCCCTAAAAGCTAAAGCTTCTTAAGCCGTGAGCCTACACCTTTGACAACATGACGAACTGATTTAGTTGTTTCTTTGCCAACTCTGTTCAAGACTCGTTCAATTCCATGACCACCAGTACAAATGTTTGTAGCTTCAATTGTATTTTTCAATTGATTTATTTCTGCATTCATCTCCTCTGATTTCTTCCTATATTCTTCCTCAAGCAAATCCTTTTGGACCTAAAAGAAAAATTGAGAAATTAAGTAAATTTTTTAACTCCTCATTTTTTCAAAAGTTGCATTTCATATTTAAGAATTTTGTCAAGCTACCTTAATTTTAAGCCTAAAAATATTTTCTCAATTATCAGAGGAGAATATTGCAACAAAGAATATCAACTGGGTTGGGTCCTGGATGTTGTGAGGAAGCATAGTTTACAACTTTACTAATATTAACCCATCGTTACAATTTTGCTAGGATGCTAACCCAGGAATAAGGACAAATGCTACATGTTCCTGCCCAAAAAATGACAGCTGGGAGACAGCCACTTGTCTGGCTGTATAAATTCTCAATTCCACTAGGATGGCATGGTCATTTGTATCACAGAAACAATGGCAACTCACACACTGAACTAGAAATCTCTTATAATAGAACTTCCAGATGGACAATGCGAGAATTCCTCCTATACCATGTGCTAATTTGGATAGACTATCCACACATGGAGATACCTGAAGCAAGTTTAGAAGCTGTACCTTCCATGTGCCTTAAAGTCTACAAGTCTCTGATAGTTTTATGTCAGCAAAAATCTACCTCAGGGTCATAGGGTGGTAGTAGAGTGCCTGATGATATATGGTCATCGTCTTGGTAAAGTCAATTGCTGTTCATATTGAATACAGCTGCTGGAATATCTGTTTTATTAAGCCCTCATTACATCATTCTAAAGTCTCCCAAAATGCCAACTCTAACCCTATTTATATTCTTCAGGGACTTATAGGGGCCATAGTCAATTCAAACTCTCCAGAGTCTGAGTATGGAACAGAATTCAAAGCCTTCTTGAAAATAAAATTTTTTAAAAAATTTTTTTAAAGGATTCAGGCATTTTAATGAATCGCAGGCAGTAATAGTGATGGTGCTTCATTCCCTGTCTTGCTGTTACCTTCACCAGCCCTTCCTGAGGTACCAGGGTAAGGACCATCAGGCCTACAGAGCCAGCAGCAGACTTACCTTCAACTTTTGCTCCAAAATCCTATTCTGCTCTCTCAGTAGTTGTTCTTTTTCCATCTCCAGCTTTGCTTTCTGTTGGGCTAAGTTTTCCCTTAGAGTCCTTTCTTGAGCCTCCATCTCTTGCTGCTGTTCCTGTAGTTTCTGCCCTAAAAGTTCCTGTTCCTTCTCAGCTGCCCTTTTCTTGGCCTGCTCCTCTGCGCCATGAAGATTTTAGAAATAGAAGAGGACAAGAGATGAAGATTAATCTCTACTCTTCTGAGCTCAGAGACCAAATACAATCTGGGAAGGTGGGCAGGAAATTATAGAATTCACCCAAGTCCACACCATGACAAGTACATTTCAGAATGTGATGGGAAAGGCCCTGCCTGTATTGCTGAAGGAAAATCAAAGCTCTCCCTGTTATTTTCGCATTTAGCACTGTGTGTGTTCCTCAGAAGGAGAGGATGCACCTTGTTTGGAGAAGGTCCTCTTGGTGGATCTGTCAGAGGACACTCTAAGAACCTTACCCACCCACTGTAAGTGGAACCCTACCCCGTACCTGCTATGGCCTTACACCCATCTGTGAGGGCTTTATCTGCCTGCAGGATGGAGTTCTCTATTGCCGCTTGCGACTGTAGGAAACTCTGGAAGACCTCTTTTGCCTGCAGAACCAAGAAGAAACAAGGAACTTTGATTTCCTTTTCCATGTAATTTTGCTTTATGCTTAAAATTCTATAATGGTTCCCTATAAATGTGCAAGCTCCTCAGTGGGGCCAGACGCCCCTACTCATCTCCTGCTTCCTGAGTCCCTCAATTCCCTCTCTAAGTGCTCCTTCCCTCCACCTGTTCAGCTTCCAGACAGTCAGAAGCATGTGCAGTTGTACAAACATACAATCTTTGATGCCTTTATATGTTCCCGTTCAGGTGTGAAAGTCTGCCTTTTTATCTGCACTGGCGCTCTCCCCTCAATTTGTTGGCAGTAACTTTAGGTAGATTATTTAATCTACCTTGGCCCCTCTATTCAGATCTGAAAATTTTCAAAAATAAGGGTAGATGCTTCTTAAAGTCATTTGGAAAAGTAAAGTAAAAGGTCTGGGAAAAGAGCTAAACAATATGACTATACGTATAGTTTAATGTGTTAGTTGTATTATTAACGTCTTTATGTTTATTGCCACCACATATGCAGCCATTTTCACAGGTTTATGAGTGTTATTTATCTGTGAATAATTGTCTATTTATTTTATTCTATCTCATTTTGATCTGTTCTGAGGCAAAGATTCTGACTTAAGTTTATAAATCATCAGCACTTAACACATAAATAATTTTTGTTCTGTATCCCTAAATTATTAAAAACCATACTCTTTCTTTGGGAATGAAAATTTCTAGCCTCAAGAATGAATGGTACATAGTGGACATTAAAAGCTGTCATGCTATCCCTCTTCTCTCTAATTACAGACTAGTGCAGAAGACTCCATTCACTCTATCCTATTAGCTTTCCCATTTTTCCTCACCTTTACTCCTTTCCTGGGTACTTCCAAATAGTCCTGTTCAATCTTCTCCCTTGCTTCCATGTAGAGCGTGTGCCCTCCAGGAACAGAGAAAGTTCCCACTGAAATATTTTGCATTAGGTCCTTGGAGAGCTGATTGAGTTGAGCCTGGCAGTATTCAACAGATGACTCTTCATTCCTTAGCAAGAAATGTTCCTTCTTACTCATTATGACTTCCTGCAAAGGGAATGTATAGCAATGTCATCAGAAAAAAAAGGAGCAGAGAAAATAAAATCCCAAAGAATCTGATAGAAAGGTCGATCTCACTACTGTTAGTGTTCATGAAAAAAGCTTTCTTATGGAGGAGGATGTAGAATAAATCAGAAATCAAAAAGTTTCATGTATTCTCAGCCCTGAAAACTCTCTGCAAGACTGTGGGAAAATTTTTAAACCATCCTGGACCTCAGATCTCACTTCTGTGAAATCATTGTGAGATTGCATTCTGTAATCTCTATGGTTTCTTGCTGCTGTAGCATCCTGTGATTCTATCTTCAGTAATATAATAATGCGACAAAGAGCAATGCAAGCTGAACAATGACCTGAATAAGGCTTTGGTAAGAGACACTTTGGTTCCTAGGAAAGAAAGAGCGTGCACAGAAAAAGTGAATGCTGAGGGATGATTATGGGCGTTCTGGGCAGGTTTGAAATCTAGGCTAGCATTCTCTTAAAGAGGGTTTCTATACTGATTTTGCTTTAGTGATTAGGAAGATTTCTGGATAAAGTGCTACGGTTTGGTGGGGGGAAAATGAGGCAGTCATATTTAGAGAATCTAAAATATTAATACTTCCTCTTGAGTGACAGATGAGCCTTGGGGTCCATAAAGTCACCTCTAGGCTTCGTTCGTCAAGGGATCAGGTCATAAAGAGTCATGACTAAGACAAATTACCACAAGCTGCTTCTGAAATTCCTGATTTTCATCCTTGAAGGAGCACTCCATGAAGACATCAATGGCTTCCTTCTCACAGGTCTCATGCACGTCCAGCAGCTCCTGGAGCGTGTCTGTGGGGAGCCTCACTTTCTGTGTCATCTGCTGGCTATAGTGGTCAGCTGCCTTCTGCATAGCCGCTGAGTTCTCCAGCTGGACCAGAGTTGTTACAGCATTTTCCAAACAAGGTACAGCTCCACTGTTGATGGCGTCCACGTAGGTCACCACCAAGGTCCCTAATCCTGAATAAACCAGGAAATTGTGGGTATTAATATGAAATATAACTCATGTGGTAGGCATACACGATGGAATATTACACAGCTATAAAGAAGAACAAAATTATGAACTTCGCAGCAACTTGGATGGACTTTAGAGTCTATAATACTGAGTGATCTGTCACAGAAACAAAGAACTGAATACCACATGTTCTCACTCATAAGCAGACCTTGAATAATTAACATAATACTATATGAAAGGGATTGGCAGTAATGGGAAACTGCCAGGGAAGAGGGGTCACGCCTCATCAACAAGGGTACTTGCATAATGAGCATTTGTATACCTAACCCTGAATTGAACCTTACATCTTTAAACTAAATTTTTTTTTAAAGAAATATAACTCAATGGAGTCTAAGATTCTGAGTCACATTTCTAAAATCTCTCTCACATACACACACACACACACACACACACACACACACCTTCCTTCTACCATCATCACTTTCATTTTCCTATTGATATTTACTCCCAATTTTTTTTTTTTTTGGTTCGTCAAGCCACACTGCTAAAAAATATAAATATCTACTTTTACCTAACAAACTAAGAGAGTATGGAATACATCATTTCTCATTTAAAAAATTAAAAGAAAAACAAATTTTATAGATAGTATGATGCAGCAGGGTAAATCATATTACATGTGTTCTTAATTCTGAATCTGCCAGTGGATTCTCAGGGACTTACGAGCTAATATTTCCTTCTAGACTTCCTTAAACTTCCAAAACCTTTTTTTTTTCTCCTTGCAATGAATATTAAACATAAAGAACTTCTGAGAAACTAGTAGATATCTGTTTTTAATGCCAATTGATGATTTTATTATCAATAGAAGCTTTTTCAAACATGTGGAAGCAAGCCACAGATATCAATAACAAAGTTTGCAATTCTGAAGAGGAATGTGTATACCCTCAAAGTAAGACAATTATAAAATATACACATTTTTTATGGAGTGTGAATATCTGTATACATAGTTCTACTTACAAGCCAGCAAAAATGCTGAGAAACCCATTATACAATACATTCGACATACGTTAGGCCCCACAGAAATGTGAAAAAGAGACTCACGATTTCCAGTGACAGTGATTCCCCCTCTGAGGGTCTTGGTTCTTGCATGGGTGAAAATGAAAGAACAGAAAATGTTTGTTTGTTCCTTGAACTTAGGATCCAGTTGACTTTCTGACACCTTCTCAATATTGGTTAGAAAGTATTTGTCATGTGTTGGCCGGACAAAGACAAAGCACTTTCGTTTTGGAAAGAAATGCCTGATGCACTCCCTGGACAAATTGGATATTTGGGCTCTGGGATTGTTGCCTGAGGGATGAAAAAAGAAGAGAATACAGTGAAAACACTCTTGGGCTAAGGGAGATAAAGAATGTTTTGACAACGTTTGTTTTGTTTTTACAATATACTATTCTTATATTCTTTGACATAAATATTCAATACTTCTCTGCACATCAAACTTGATAAAATTCTGGCAAGAAATTTTGGAAGACATCAGACCCAAGTGAAAACAAAACCTAAAGCTGGTATCTGCAGACCTGAAATTGGTGCCAAGTAGAGAGCAATTGTTTATTAGATGTTCACTGAATGAGCTGAATGAATGAAAGTTCAAATGTAAATTCTGGTCCACTCAATCCCATGTAGAAATTGAGCTGTGAGACCAAAAAAAGAGCCACAAATAAGTATAAAAGAACAATATTAGAAATAGCTTCTCACTCATAAGTGGACTCTGTACAATTATAATACTATAAGAAAGGGACTGGCAGTAGTGGAGAACAGTTGGAGGGGTGGGATTGGCAGTTGAGGGAGAACTGCTAGGGGAGGGAGGGGCATACCTCATCACAAGGGTACCTGCATAATCAACGTTTGTATACCTAACCCTGAATTGTACCTCAAGTATTTATAATTTAAAAAGTGGACAAAAGAAAGAAAGAAAGAAATAGCAATACTCAGAATGTTAAGAAAGACACCATGATAATTTAAGAAAAATTACATTAATGCTAAAAAAAATAATTTGTACAGTTTTGGCTACTCTTTAAACTTCCAACATATATTTTGTATTACCTGAAAACTTAAAGCCTTCTGTAGAGTAAATGAAATGAAAATGTAATTTTGAGATAATCACCACTACTTTATAAACTCTTTGAGGCGATTTCTGATTTGACAATGTTGTTTTTCTGCCTTCCAGTTTTTAATAAATATTTTGAAAAAGTATAAATAGAAAAATGAGAAGAAAAATGAGTATATCAGAATTGATATTTCTTATGAGGTCTTTTCAGCTACACAGCTATGTAAGGTAACTCATTAAAATAATTATTTTGAAATTATAGCATGAATAAATATGTTGTAATTGAGACAAAGCTATGACACAGAAAGAAAAGTAAATGTTCTGGTAATTATCAGACATTTTAAAAAGGAATGGGCTATAAAGACATATCCTTCTTCGGGTTTATTTAAATCATAAAATTGTTTTTGTAGATAATATAACTATATCAGTATTTAAATGTTACATCCCTCTATGAGAAAAATAAAGTCTAACTGTGTGAAATATATTTTTTAGATTGCGATATCATGTCAAACAACTATCTGTTCAATTCTTAAACACAGAAATACGGAATGAAAGTAGGGCTCACAAGCGTCTGGTTTTTAGAAAGTTTTAGCACCCATTGTAATCTGAATGCTAAAGTATAAATGGTATAAAAAAATAGTTTTATTTAAATTCATTCTAGAGCCGGGTTCGGTGGCTCAGCCTGTAATCCCGCGCCTTTGGGAGGCTGAGGTGAGTGGATTGCTGAGCCCGCAGGTTCGAGACCCGACTGGGCAGCGAGACCTCATCTCTACAATACATCAAAAAATCAGCCGGGCGTGGTAGCGCGTGCCTGTAATTCCAGCTACTCGGAAGGCTGAGGCGGAAGGATCGCCGGAGCCCAGCAGGTCGAGGCTGCGGTGACCGGCAGCGGCCACTGCACTCCAGTCTGAGCGACAGAGTGAGACTCCAACTCAAAAAAAAACAAATTCATTCTACATTAAATTCTACTCTTTTTAAGTGAACTTGACCTCCAATTCCTAGAATTTTCAACTCGCCTCCCATTCCTCATTTCTGTAGATCTCAATCTAGTCTCAAAGACAAATGCGACTCCAGAGATGATGCACAGTGTTGAGCAAAACCCACTCCTGATTGAATCACCCACCTCCCAGGTCATGTTCTCATACCTGGAATCAACCTTAAAGCATTCTCCAGGTACTCATCTTCTGTAATAAGGTCACCACCATTCAACTTCAGCTCCAGGGTGAAATCCCGTACAGTCCAGATAAAGTCTGGAAAGAAACTCACAAACTCTGTAGAATCTTCTACTCCTTCAGGTGTTGGGGAGGACTTTGCCTTAATTAATTCTGTGAGCTCTGTCACATAGCTACGACTTGGCTAAGGAAAATGAATGGCCTGTCCATAATTCACATATTTCTCATATGAGAAATATTATGAACACTCTCTGGGTCCCCTCTGCCCCACCAAAGGCAACTAAATGAAAGGAGGAAATGACTTGATCTCCGTTCTTGTAACCTCCATGAAACTTGGTGATTTGGTCCCTGGAAGGATACTGCAGCTGCTCCAGGGCCTGGTGGTTGATGGTGTTCATGCTGTTGTAGACAAAGGTGCTGCTCAGAAGCACAGCCAGGGCGAAGATCCACGAGTCATTCTTAGGGTCACCCTAAAAAACAGAGGACCTAGGAGTCTATTCTTTAGAAATTTACCGAGACATTTATCTTATTAGTCTTTCATTTATGATTTCAGCTAATGTACTCACTGTACAAAGAATATGGATAAGAATACAAATAACATATTTTACAGTTATAATATTTCTTATGATCACAATTTCTTTATATATAAAAAAATTCTAATCTTCATAGAATTTTCTTTTTTCCTCAACTCGTGCCTAATTGTGTTTTGATGATGAGAGTTAGTACTTCTTCATTCTACACATATTTATTGGCCATAAGCCATGTAAAATAGTCCATAGTGGGCATAACCAGTGATTCTAGTTACACCCACTTAAATTCAACAAATTATTTATGAGCATCTGCACAATGTTTTCCATTGCTCTTAGTTTTAGAAAAGTAATTATTTTTCAGTTTAAGTCTCACTCTATTGCTCAAGCTGGAGTGCAGTGGCAAAATCATGGCTCAAACAGCCTTGACCTCCTAGGCTCAGGTGATCCTTCCATCTCAGCCTCCCAAGAACCTGGGACTACAGGCACACTCCACCACACCCAACTATTATTTTTATTTATTTTTGTATGTAGAGATGAGGTTTTGCTATGTTGCCTAGGCTGATCTCGAACTCCTGGTCTCAAACTGTCCCCCTGCCTTGGCCTCCCAAAGTGCTTGGATTATAGAAAAAAGCCACTATGCCAGGCCTAGAAAAGTAAACTTAATAATGACAATTGTTACTCTCAAGATGAATTAACACTCAACTTATCTGTGACAAGGGTGCCAAGAAAACACAAGAGGAAGAATAGTATTTTCAACAAATGATTCTGAGAAAACTGAATAGCCACATTCACAGGAGGAAAATTTGAACCTTATTTGCACACCCTACACAAAAGTCAACTCAGAATGAGTTACAAACATACATGGAAAACCAGAAACAGGATCCAGAAATCCCACTATTATGTATACAAAGGGAGATGCCCCCCAAAATGAGAATTTATTTATTAAAAATTGTGTATTTATTCTTCCATGTTTAAACTTAGCCACCTTTAAAGTACTCTCTGTTTGATGCATTACACCTATTTAGATGCTTTTCCCACTGCTCAAAACACTTTTTGAAATTATCAATTTTGATGGCTTCTTAGTGCTTCGGCAGCTTTTTGTTTCACCTCTTGCACATGGGCAAGATGTTTCCTTTTGAGGACTTTTTTCATCCAGGGAAACAAACAAAAAGTCGCTTGGGGTAAGATCAAATGAATAGGAAGGTTGAAACAGAAGTCATGCCGGTTTTGGTCAAAAACTGCTGAACACTCAGTACAGTGTGGGCAGGTTCACTCATAAATCACCCATTATGAAATGGGCAAACACCTTGAAAGAATCTCCAAAAAAAATTACTGAAGTTTAATACAGTCTGTCACAACAATGCTGGTTTGTACACTGACACCGATGGGTTCCTTCAACACTTACCTCGGGGGGAAGCCTGTACTACAAGAGGCCTACCCTCCAAAAGATCATTCCATTTTTAGGGAGGATCTCCCTTTATATATCCAAGAAAATGGAATGAGTATGTCAAGGTGATACCTGCACACCCATATTTATTGCAACACTAGCTACAGTAGCCAAGGCATGGAGTTAACCTAAGTAACTATCGACAGATGAATGGTTTTTTGGAATGTGGTATGCACAGTGAAATACTACTCAGCTTTTTATTTTTATTTTTATTTTTTTGAGTTGGAATCTCACTCTGTCACCCAGGCTGGAGTGCAGTGGCACACTCACAGCCACGGCAGCCTCTTCCTATTGGGCTCAGGTGATCCCTCTATCTCAGTCTCCCAAGTAGTTGGAACTACAGGCATGCACCATCAAGTCTGTCTAATTTTTCTTGATTTATTTTAGAGATGAGGTCTCACCAAGGTTGGTCTCGAGCCCATAGGCTCAGGCACTCCTCTCACCTTGGCCTCCCAAAATGCGCAAATTATATGCATGAACCACCACGCCGAACCTCAGTTTTTTAAAAAGGAGGAATTGACCTGCATGATGTCTCAAGCATGTAGTCCCAGCACTTTGGAAGACCAAAATGGGAGGATTGCTTGAGCCCGGGAGTTAAAGACTAGTATAGACAACATAGTGAGACTTCATTTCTACCATTAAAAAAAAAAGCCAAGTGTGGTGGCACATGTCTAGTCTCAGCTACTCACAAGGCTGAGGTAGGGGAATCCCCTGAGCCCACAAGGTCAAAGTTGTGGTGAGCCATAATCATGCCACTGCACTCCAGCAATCTGGGAGACAGAATGAGCCCTGATGCATATAGATAGATAGATAGATAGATAGATAGATAGATAGATAGATAGATAGATAGATAGATAGATGGATAAGAAAACCCTGTCATTTACCACAACTTAGATGTAACTAATTAAATAAACCAAGTACAGACAGACAAATACTACATGATCTCGCTTACATGTGAAATCCAAAATAGTTGAACTCATAGTCATAGAAAGTAGAGTGGTGGCTACCTGGTGCTGGGTAGAGGGATGGAGTAGATAAGGTATGAGAAGATTAGGAGATATGGTCAAAAGATACAAAATTTTAGTCAGACAGGAGGAAGGAGAAAGACATGAAACCATAACAGTGCCAGAAGAAAACACAGGGGAGAGCTTCTGTACATCAGTTTGGAAAATGACTTTTTTGGATATAACACAAAATTCCACAGGAAGCAAAATCAAAATTAAACAAGTGGGATTGCAGCAAACAAAAAAGCTTCTGCACAACAAAAGAAATTATCAACACAGTGAAAAAATTTGCAAACCATGTTTGATAAAAGTTTAATTCTCAAAATATGCAAGAAACTCATACAACTCAATAACAAAACAACAAATAACCTGATTAATAATGAGCAAAGAACTTGAATACACATTTCTCAACATAAGACATACAGATGATCAATGGGTATATAAAAAGGTTTACAAAATCACTAATAGTCAAGAAAAGGCTAATTAAAACAATGAGATATCACCTGAAACATATTCAGATAACTATTACCAAAAAGATTTTTTTTAAATAGTTGACAATAATACAGAAAAAAGGGAATTTTGTATGCTGTTGCTTGAATGTAAATTGGTATAGTCACTAAGGAAAAAATTATGGAGATTCCCAAAAAAATTAAAAGTAGAAATGCCATATGATTCAGTAATCTCAATTCTATGTATAATTTCTAGTGAAATGAAATCAGTATTTCAGACAGATATATGTACTTACATAATATATTTTAATTTGAATATGTACCTATTAATTGTAGCATTAGTCACAATAAACAACATATGGAAACTACATAAATGCCCATCAATGGATGAATGGAAAAAGAAAATATTCAAATTTTGAAACAAAAGAAAATCCTGCCATTTTCAATGTTTCATTAATGAACATTGATGATATGCTAAGTGAAATAAGCCAGACACAGAAAAACAAATACTGCCTCATCTCATTTACTTTTTGAATCTGAAATACACAGCCATCAAACTAATAGAAATGGAGAGATGTTCATCAAAGACTACAAAATTTCAGTTATGCAGAATGAAAAAATTCCAGGTCTGCTATATAGCATGATGTTTATAGTTAACAATACTATATTGACCATGAACTTGAATTTTGTTAAGAAGACATGTGTTAAGTGTTTTCATCACACTGAGAGAGAAGAAAAAAGAAAATAGTAACTATGTAAGGTGATGGATATATTAATTGTCCTGTTGTAGTGATCATTTCACATAGTAAACATGTATTAAAATATCAAATTGTATACCTTAGTTATATACAATCTTTATTTGTCAATTATACCTAACTATAGCAGAAAAATAGACACAGAATTTTAGCTCTTTCTGGACAGAAATGGAGAGCACAGGAATATAGATACCATTCCCAAATCACTCTCAAAATAAGGCCAAAAAAGATAAATTGTTCATTTCATTCATTTTTAGGGAGCTAAATACCATTCATTTGCTTTAAAATATTAGTTTTAAAACAAATGTATACATTTAAAGAACCAGCGCAGTCAAAGTTATCCCAAAGCCTTCCAGAATGCTCTTTTGTATAGGTGGAGCTTCACAATAAGAAATATAAATACAAGTCTCTTAACGCCAACTCCCAAATGCACACTTCATGCAGCAGTTCAGAAGGTAGATTAGAAGACTTTTCTCAGCCAGAGATTGAGTTGATGCCTTTCTTCTTTCCTATCAAGGCACCCTTAATCATAACTGTACATGGTAAGAGCTGTGGTGTTCTGCCTCGATCAACTTTTCTTTTTTTCTTTTTTCTTTTGAGTTGGGTATCTTACTCTGTCATCCAAGCTGGAGTGCATCCACAAGACCACAGCCCACCACAACCTCAATCCCCTAGGCTCAGGTGATCATTCTGCCTAAGTCTCCCAAGTAGTTAAGACTACAGTCATGCACCAAAATGTCTGGCTAATTATTTTTATTTTCTGTAGAGATGAGGCCTCTCTCAGGTTGGTCTTCAACTCCCAAGCTCAAGCAATCCTCCCGCCACAGTGTCCTAAAGTGCTGGGATTACAGGAGTGACCCACCGCGCCCAGTCCTGGATCACCTTGCAGCATTGAAGAACTGATTCCTCCAACTGCTGGGAGTGTTAATGAATGGCAGCCCTTAAGTATCAGCCATCTTAAAGAAAAGGCTTTTCAGGGCAGATTTTCAATAACTAATCAGCATCAGGAACGAAAGCCGAGAACCCTTGTTTCAGCACAAAATAACCCTAAAGTGTCATCCCAGCCACAGATCTCCCTATGAAATTGACAAAGGTTAGGGATTGTGTTGGAACCTAACTTCTCCCTCTCAATGACTTGCTTCTTTCCTAGTCACACTGTATTAATCTCAATGCATACACCTGGTCTCCTCAATGGGACTGAAGGCTCTTTGAGGGCAAGGTCTTTACTTTATTCACTAATATGTATACTAATATTTAATCAGTCCAGAGCTCCGAACTCAGATGCTCAATAAGCTTTTATTCAATTGAACCAAATCATTCACCCCAGTGCCAACAAACAGAATATTTTAGTCAATATACCATGAATCTAATCTACTCTACAAGTGAGATGAAACAGACAAAGTCTGGGTCATTCATTATAGTTGGATTACCAGGCTTCACAAACAGATCCCACCAGTTAAATTACAAGGGAAAAAGATAAGGAGAAAATACAGTATATAAAGGATCTTTCTGAGACTCTCTGCCTTACCTTTTCCACATCTCCCAGACCTTCGGTGTCCAGAAGAACCAGAGTGTGGTTTGGCTTGGAAGGATGGGGCACACACCACATCCAGATGCCCTTGGTTTGAGACTGCACTGTGGAGCCCAGAGGGAAGCCTACAAGGGAAGAAAAAGAAACAATGCCCACTGACAGCAGATCACTGTAGCCCTGGCTACTAGATCAGACTTCTGGGATGGTAACTACCCTAGCACACACGATAGAACTCTTTCTATTTCCTCAAGAATCTTACTTTGCAAGTCACCCATTTCAAAAAGCAAAGGACATTGAATATGAGAATGACACCACGCAATGGCTCAAGATGAAGACAAGAATGAATACATGAATCAAACATAATGGGGGGCACTGATAACCATGACAAGAACATCTTGAAAGAACGGTGGGGTTCAAAGTCAGGGAGGAGTGGATGGAGACATAAGAGAAAATAAGTCAAAAAAAGGAAAGTGAGACTTTTTTGCATTGAAAAGTGATTTAAAACAAAAACAAAACATAGTTTTGTAGCCACAGTGGAATGTTAAATTCGAGAAGGATTTTTAACATCATACATATTCAAAAATCTGTATATGTTGCTTGGACACTATATAAAGCAAATTATTTTGTGAGAAGAAAGAAACAAATTACAGAAGTCCAATGCTTGAGTGTGCAAGAGAAGGTAGGATTCTGGGCACTAGTAGGAGAGATTTTTCTCAATGAGAATAAAGGACAGAACATGGGAACAGTTAATAGTAAGAAAATGACTTGGTGTCTAGTATTAGAATGAGAAATTTGGTTTATTGAGAGGAGTTGGACTCTCCTTCATGAGACTGAAAGAAAGAATTAAGATGCTGAGATAAAGATGGAAACAAGCAATAGGTCTGTGCCCCAGGACACCACTCACCATGGTTCTGTCCTGCCAGAAGGTTCATCAGGTAGGATTTCCCTGTACGGTATAGTCCTGCAATGGACACCACCACCACTGGCTGAGGAATCTTGTACAGAATTTCGATAGCCTGCTGATTCAATGACAGCTGCTCATGGTTGTTTTCCACCAGACAAATGGGGGCCAACATTTTAGGTCCAGATGCCGTGGCAACCTGCCCACCTAGAAGAGCCTCCTGGTAGAAATAAGAGTACAAAGTTATTTTCTGCCTCAGAGTTAATCAAGTACCCATAATTTTAAGATCAATAAAGACTTTTACTTTTTCTAGAAGACAGTATGTATCCTAGCATTAGCAGACTGCAGAAGGTTTCTTCCATCATTCTCTCAAATCATTAATGGTGTTAGTGATGAAACATTGAGTATTATCTTCTCCAAAGTTGTACGTCAATAGTATTTATAAAATCTACATAATTTTTACCATTATGGGGGCTTTTGATATGCCAAGTCCTATAATACCTTATATATTTGCCTTTCTGACACTTACAAGAACCTGCAAGTTAGAGATGATTACACACACTTTACAAATGAGATAAATGAATCTCACAAAGGCTCAGTGAATATGTTATAGAGCCAGGATTAAAAACCTGGACAGGAGATGGTCAGAAGACAGCCATGGAACTGGTGAGAGTGTGAGAGTCTATGAATGGGTGAGTGTCCATAAAAACAAGTCTGAGTGCAAGGGTGTGACTATCTGAGGGGAATGTCCATCTGAGGGGAAACTTGGGATCAAGCACCTGGGGCTTCCCTCAGGAGATGTCTGACAGCTGAGGGACAACCTGATCAACCTACAACTGCTCTGAGATCAGAGACTGGTGTGCAGGAAGGTCTGCCATTCTTAAGGCATCTCTTGGAAAAAGGTAGCAGAGATCAGTGTACCTGGCACCCAACCCATGCCACCACCTGTGGCAGCAGGCAGGGCACTGGCAGCGGGAACATGGAGAAGGCCTGGGAAGGAAATCTGGAGCTGAGCCCTGTTGTCCCCGGAAAGCAGACCTCCACTGTGACCATTTTCTCTGTCACGGGACAGGCAGTGACCTGCTTTGGCCCGCCCAACTCACAACAACCTCCATCCTGAGACCCAGCGGTAGTCTCCACACCCCTCCGGGATCCACCATCACTGGCCCAGAGAGGATATTTCAGGAGCAGACATGGAGCGACAGACGCCCCAACCCCATACCCAACCAGGCACAGACACATCTAACCTGAGTGGGAGACCTAGTATTAGCAGCAGCAGACGAGTTGGGGTGAATACAGATTTGATTCACCCTCCACCCCAGTAGACTGTGGGGTATTCCGACCCACACTGAGAACAACCTGACCTGCCTGCACTGAGAGTGGAGTGAAGAATCTGGAGACTGGACCACTCCCTACCACTGCATCACCCAAAAGCTGTGACTCTTTTTTTTTCTGTTTTGGGTGGGGGTTTTTTTGCATTTGTTTTGTTTTGAGTTTTGTTATTGTTGTATTAAGTTTTTCAGTTTATCTATTTGTGTATGGGAATTTTTGAGGGCAAGGGCATCATCAAGTTTTTTTTGTTTGTATGTTTGTTTGTTTGGGGGTTTTTTGTTTTTGTTTCTTTGTTTATCCATTAGTTTGTGTGCCTGTCTGTTTTCCTTCTTCTTCTATCTCTTCATCTTCCTTTTTTATCCATTATTCCTTTCTAGGTCCTTTTTCTTATCTCATTTTGGTTTCAGGGGGCATACATATGCTCCCACCACATGGACTGATTTTAAGAAGGAGGGAAGTGAGTTCCAGGAGGCCCACACACCAGATAGCAGATACTGTGATCTGCAAATAGCTTCTGAACCAAAACTCCCCTCATTACACCTTAATCAAAACTCAAAACTGCAAAAGACAGCACAGTTTTCCACACCCAGTCTGGCTTTGAAATTGAACAAATCCAGAGGATCTGCATAAGGTAGAATAGGGGATTGAGCAAACAGAAGTGAAAGCTATCCCCCATCACTAAGCAATACAATTAAAGAGGGGGAATGGGGGAGGAAAATCATCACAAATGAGGAAGAATCAAAGGAAGAACACAGGTACCATCCAGACCCTTGGGAAGACAGCAACTAAGAATACAGACTTCAGAAATCACACAATGAAGAGTCCCCAGAAAGACTGGTCTCAAACCACAAACACAGATTTCAAAGTATTAATAGAGAGAATGAGTAGAAATGAGGAGAGATGAGAGAAAAGAATGAAGGAATTGATAACTGAAATTATAGCAATAAAGAATACAGTAAATGAAATAAATAACAAACTGCCAAGCATGGAAAGCAGAATTAACCAAGCAGAAGGAAAAAAATCTCAGTGCTTGAGGACCAAAATATAGAACTAACCCAAACTGCTAACATAGAAAATAAGCTTAAAAATACAAAACAAGCCTCCAAGAAATGTGTGATTATATTAAAAGGCTGAACATACACCGAACTGGCATTCCTAAGGCAGACAGAGAAACAGAGCCCACCCTGGAACAAACATTCCAAGAAATTATTCAAAAACCTTCCTTCATCTCATCAGAGATGCAACCAAACACAAGCAATTCAGAGAATCCCTGCAAGGCATCAAATGAGAAGACCAACTTCTAAACACATGGTAACTTGCTTACACAAAGTAGGTATAAAAGAAAAATCCTAAAGGCAGCAAGAGAGAAAGTTCAGACTACCTACTGGGGAAGATCAATAAGAATAGCAGCAGATATCTACAGAAGTACTATAGGCTAGAAGAGACTGGAGTCCAAACTTCAAAGCTCTCAAAGATAAACAATTCCACCCAAGAGTTTCCTATCCAGCTAAGCTAAGACTTATCAGTGACGGAGAATTAAAATCCTCCCCAGACATTCAATCCCTGAGAGTTTATGCTGCCTAAAGACCAGCGCTATAAAAGACACTTAAGAAAGTATTAAGCACAGAAGAAAGGGGGGAAAAGGATGATCACGCATATATATCAACTCAAAAATCAGAAGAAAACCAAAATAAAACAAATAAACAAATAAACAAGCAATAACAACAACAAATTCTACAAGACCCTCATGACAGGGATAAACTCTAACATCTCAACAATTAGCCTGAATGTGAATGGACTAAATGCACCAATGAAAAGACATAGAATGGCAAACTGAATTAAAAAAACATGATGCAACAATATGCTGTCTCCAGGAAACTCATCTTACCAGAATGGACACTCATAGTCTCAAAGGATGAAAATCAAATTTTCAGGTAAATGGAACACAAGAGAAAGAAGTTGTGATCTTAATATCAGGCAATATAACCTTTAAGCTATCAAAAATTTTTAAAAGATATGGAGGGTCACTACATAATAATAAAAGCTGTCACTCCATCAATGAGAAATATCCATTCTAAACATATATGGACCCAACAGAGGAGCACCAACTTTTACAAAGCAGTTTCTAGGTAAACTAAAAAGAGATACTGACTCTAACACTATCATAACCGGGGACTTAAATATCCCACAAACAACCCTAGATAGATCAACGAGGCAAAAAATTAACAAGAAGATCCAGAACCTCAACTTCATGCTTGACCAAATGTAGACCTACAGAACCCTCCACCCAATAACCATGAAATAAACATTCCACTTATCAACACATGGAACTTACTCCAACATCGACCACATCCTTGTCCATAAGCCAAGCATAAACAAATCTCATGAGATTGAAATTCTGCCATGCACCTTCTCAGACCACAATGATATAAAAATAAATATCAACACCAACATAGCTCCCCCAAAACCAACAAAGACATGGACACTAAATAGCATGATACTGAGCAACTCCTGAGTCAACACAGAAATCTAAGCAGAAATTAAAAGATTTCTGGAAGTAAAGGAAAAGAAAGATACATCTTACCAAGATTTCTGGGATGCCATGAAAACAGTTCTAAGAGGGGAATTCATTTATTTACAAATGTACATCAAGAAAATGGAAAGATCATGTGTTAACAGCCTAACAAATTAACTAAGGGACCTGGAAAGACAAGACCACCAAAACTCTAACCTCAGCAGAAGAATCCAGATCACCAAAGTCAAAGTCCAAATACAAGACACAAGAGACAAAAATATCACAGAAAAAAACCCAACAAAGCAAAAAGCTGATTCTATGAAATAATAAACATGGTTGATGGACCCCAACCAGATTGACCAAGAAAGAAGGAGAAAAGGCCCAAATAAACACAATCAAAAATGCAAAAGATAAAATCACAACAGATCCTGAAGAAATACAAAGCACAATCAGAGAACACTATGCACACCTGTATAGAAACAAACTCAAAATCTAAATGAAATGTAGAACTTTCCATAATTACACAACCTCACAAGGTTGAAACAAGAAGAAACTGAGACATTAAATAGACCAATAACACCCCAGGAAAGCAACTCTGTCATAAGAAACTACCCCCCAAAAAAGTCCTGGACCAGATGACTTTCCAGCAGAGTTCTGCAAAACATACAAAGAGGAGCTGATATCAATCTTACTGAAAGTATTCCAAGCAATCGAGAAAGATGGAACTCTCCCCAAATCATTTTATGAAACTAACATCACACTGACTGATACCCAAACAGGGTAAAGATCCAACAAAAGGGAGTTATAGGCCAATATTCTGAAGAACATAGATGCAGAAATACTCAACAAGATTCTAGCAAATCAAATCCAGTAGCACGTCGCAAAAATCATCTACCATGACCAAGCAAGATTTATCCCTGGGATGTAGGGCAGGTTCAACATTCGCAAGACCACAAATTAAATACATCAACAGATGTAAAAATAGGAACCACATGATTATATCATTAGATGCAGAATAAGCTTTTGATAAAATCCATCCTCCCTTCTTGATTAAAACCCTTGAACACCTAGGCATAGAGGAAACGTATCTCAAAATATTAAGAGCCATTTAGGATAAACCCACAGGCAACATATGGCTAAACAGGCAGAAATTGCAAACATTTCTACTGAAAACTGGAACAAGACAAGCTGTCCACTTTCACCCCTTCTGTTCAAAATAGTGTTGGAAGTCAAAACCAATCTGACAAGAGAAGGAAATCAGAGGTATCCAAATAGGAAAAGAGAAAGCCAAGTTATCCTTCTTTGCTGACAATATGATTCTATACCTTGAAAATACAAGAGCATCTGTCAAAAACCTTCTTGTACTGATAAAG